GTTGTACAGTTTTTTTTTAAGGGGGGAAAATCATCGAATGACTGCTCCCGCCTGGGTGAGACGGGAGGGAGTGTCAGACTCTTACTGACTAAAAACCACCCCGTTCCTTCTCCTGCACGTCGAGTCGGAGCCCCGGTTACCCGTTAGGTTCTCCGCGACTACATTGTACAGTATCTACATGAATCTCCAACAATGTTCAAATTCTTAATCCCCAAAAGGTTTTACGGACGTAAGTGCGTTAGCACTCTGGTGTTCCAGGTGTCCATGGACGGCGCCGATTGCTTACCATCAGGCGATCATTTACTGACTTATCACATAAAAAAATACAAACAAAATCGATATTTCCTTTCTTAATTTATGAGTCTATTACAAAAGTAACTCTATACTCATACCCATAAGCCTTATTTCCATTTGTTACAGTGATTACTACTTCACGAGTGCACAATGGGTGTCCCTCACAGAAGTATGTGTAGTCTGGCTCACAAGGATGCAGAACTTGTCCGTGGTCTCCGTCTGCAAGAGTCCCATGTGGTACTGTCAAGAGGTAAGCTATTGGTTTTTGAAATTAAACCTTATTGCTTAAAAATAAAGATGGTTATTTATTATGGACTAATTCTTTTCGGGTATTTCTTAGGCGAGATGGTGACAAATGCTAAGAATATAGATAAAAAGTTTCGTTTAAAGGGCATGGCATAATTTTTATGTTCTAAAAACATGCTTTCAACCTCGCAAACATTTTTTGCTGAGATAATAAATATTAACTATATAATAGTACCAACTGAAATATGGAGCAATAATTTCAAAGTAAAATAGAGCTTGTCATAATGTAAGTACTATCACAGATCTCACGAATACCTATCTAACTATTCAAAGAAATAAAATTCGTAAAAAGATCTTCCGAAACAAAATTGAACAAGAAACAGTTTTACAATTCGAACATTTCGAACTGATACCGTTTTCTATTTTAAATTCATATTTCGAAGCTCGTTTTTTTTTACAAAATGGCGCAGGAACTCTGTGCTGTCGTATCTTTTCAATTTTAAAATGTTTCGATTTAAAACGAAACTCAAATGTAACTTCGGTCATATCGTTTTAAAAAAAGTATTGAGAAAACTTCATTTTTAAATGTCAAACGATACTCTATTGTTTTTTTAAGTATTTTTTTATTGTTGATATACATTAGCACGATAAAGATTACAATGTGTATTTCCAAACTCCATATTATATTTCGATTTTTTTTTAATCTAATGTATCATAACAGATAGGTAACTGTCTAATGCTCCTCACCAGTCACTTTAAATACCAAAAGAATAAAAACATTCAATAAATATCACATTACGATTCTTTATGTCATATAACAATACTTTATGTCACAGGTATACAGGATATCCTCAGGGTTAGACGGCTGGGTGGAATCAGCACCGTCTCCTCTCTGGTCAGCCGGTGGCGGTGCCCTAGTGACCTTGGCCCCAGTCAGGGATGGTCCAGCTGGGTTGTTCCGTCACATTGTGAGGACGGAACATAACTCTCACGGGCCTAGAGCTCTGCCCCTAACACATGGGAGCTTTGATGTGGTTCAGTTACTGGCTTGGGACCATGCAAATCAGCATATGTAAGTATATTCGTATATTTTATAATTATTATTGTTACCCACTTTAAAATAGAAAAGTACGTAATTGATAAACGCATGTTTCTGTTTCTAGCTATTACTTGGGCATCCCAGAAGGAAAACCAGGACAACAGCACCTATACAGAGTATCATCCGAGGCGCCGAGGCCGGGCTCCCCGCAAAAACTGCCATACTGTGTCACGTGTAACTCACAGGTTTGTACTACTTACAACATATGAATTAAAAGTACTAGGAGAACATATCGGTTTAAGATGTCGTTTAAAATTCAAAAATGGATATGTTCAGTTCAATCACACGATAGAGAATTACTTGCTAAAAGATAAATTACCTAATTGGATAATCTAATAATTGAATTCTGAAAAAAGTGGGATACTAGAACACCAGAATAAAAAAAGAGTTCCCTTTATGAAAGGATCGCACTGCAGATTATCGCTGCAAACGATTTTACGATCAAATCAAAATTTTATACGAAACCAAAGTGCAAACCAATGATGTCCACACGATTGCTATTAAATGGCATTTAACGTTTATTTCGATACGTAATGGCGCAATGCCAGAATGTCGTAAATAGGATACGCATCTGCAGTGGATGCGAGACATATGAAAACAAGATGGAGGAAAATGCTATATAGTCTGTGCAGGATTGTAAAATCATTAATATCCTATAAATCTTCATGAGTAGAAATCACTATTGCTTCAAAGCTGTTGGCATGACTTTTATTTGTTTGTCTAAAAGGAAAGTTCTTGCATATCTACTACATATTGGTTGGTGCAGTACTAAACACGGTTCTGATCGCTTATCATCAGATGATCTCGCGTCTGCTCATTTACCCCCTACGCCATTTAAATACCTTTATACTCCAATATGACAGTTTAAACTAATAAGAAATCCGAAAGAATGATCGCTACTTATAAATGTTTTCCTTGTAGCCATCCCCGTCAATAAACCTAGAGTACTACGGCAGCCTGGCTTCATCAGGTGACAGTAACTGGGGCGACAGCGACTGGGATGAAGAACTGCCACCTACTTCTCCTTCTCCCAGCAAGAAGAAAAAGAAGAAGTACCCTGGTGAGCCCGTAGTATAATAAACCTTTTAAAAATCCCATTGTGAATAAAAAATAACGTATTTTTCCTTTTTTCTGTATAGATGGCATGCCCCAGAACTTGCCGTGCCTCTACCACGAGGCGCACTTCAGTCCATCATCAGCGTACTTCGTGCTGGAGTGCCTTGGACCTGGGGTGCCTACATTCAGTCTACATAAGACTGCACTGCCTGACCCTAGGCTAATCGCACATTTGGAGAACAATACTATTGTTAAGGTAATTTTGTGAACTTTGTACAGACAACTGTTTTGATTTTATGCTTGCCTGGTACAGTGGCCAGCAGATCAACATCATTTAATGCGTACATTTCACCAACGTTCACATACTCAAATTCCACTCGATTTTAAGATTAAATTTTAAGGTTTTTTAAGATTTTAACATTACTTAAACATAACGTAACATGTTATGATATGATTGTTATGTTTGTAACATGTTATGTCATGCTTTCAAGAGTAGTTCTGTCCCTTCAAATTCTTTGTAAAATGATAGAGATAGCACTTAAAATTGAGTAGCATTTTGATATTAGAGTCTTATTATTGATACTTAAATGCTACCTTTTTAATTAATCCAATACATGTGTCATAAAGTCACTTTATTGTAATTTGAAACTGTATCGCTATAAGAAATCATAAATTTAGAACAACAGCGCAATAAAATTAAACCTGAAGTGACTGAAATGTGGGAAAGCCATGCTTTAGCACAAATGGGCCGGCTCGACCGGAGTGATACCACGACCTTACAGAAAACCGATGTGAAACAACGGTTGAGTTATGTTTTATGTTCCTCTTCAATATTCCCAACAATCCTCAAATTCATAATTCCCAAAAGGCCAATAACACACGCCTAGTTAGGCCTTTAGTATTTCAGGTGTTCATGGGCGGCGCCGATTGCTTACCATCAGGTGATCCGTATGCTAATTAAACTGTCAAAGACCAAGCGGTCACCGGGGACCGCAACCTATTATTCTATAATTGTGTCTATAATGACGGTACTCGACGAGTTAATCGGCTTATCCTATAAAAAAGCTGAGATTAAATTGGGCTTTTAAAAACCTTTACTATCCTGTCACTTGCCATACCTAGACCTACTTCAGGCGAATCTCATACTTCGTTTCGTATTTATTTCAGAACTTCGACAGAACAAAAAAAAGTACTTCAAATAAGTGTTAGAAGTGACTTCACTTGACAAATTGTGTCAGTACAAGAGTAAGCATAATATTTGAAATCGTAGAAGTCGTCGAAGGATGAAATCCAGCTTAGCTATTATACCGGATAATCTCCGTTTCCACTACGGATCGATGCTTTCATACTTATTTTACTTCAAAAAGCTGAATTTCCAACCTTTTTGCTTATCCCATCTATTTTACGGTACAACAAATCTTGTGGAGTTTCTTTTTACGCGATATTTAACGGACAGAGTTACAGAGAAGGTGATTTTTGGTATACTGGGAATTTTAAAATGGAAATGTTGAAAATGATTTATAAAATACATAGCTTTAACATTTTTCGTAAAAAATTCAGCTAACTTTTAGCTAGCATAAAGATAATTTGCACTCTCTTTAAAAATAAAACAGGTTTCCGTGATTAAAAAAGTAGTTTTAGCTGTTAAACGAAACTCTGTATGATGGCAAATCGGAAAACGAACAACTCCACTTTCGAAATTTTCAATTAGGTAAGTAGGTACTCGTACTATCAAAAAAATATACCCCTTCGAAAAACATAAACATGAGAATACCAAACTTTAATAAGTTATGATAAATAAAATAATAATAATAAATCATTTATTCAAAATAAAAAAGAACACGTTACACAATAATGACACTAATCTAGAATTCATGAAGACATTTAATATATAATTATGTTCAATGACCCCCATGCTAGGAAAACCTGTGTTACAGGGGTCATCCCACCGTCATGATGACGACCGAAATGACAATCGAACTTATAATACCAGACGAGATAGTAGCCAAACGTCAGCCCATCGAATATAAAACAAAATACAATGTATATCTACAATAAGAAACTGCAATGTGGAGCAATGAGGGAGACGTGTTGTTCTTAGAAATAACTTTAATTAAGTGTCTAATAACTAACTTACACTACTACTTATTATTCAGGTATTGAGTGGTTTCAAATAATTTGAATAAGATTTCTCTCAACACATTTATTATAACAGAAAAACAACAGCTAATACAAATCAAAATGGAGGAACAAAAAGAATGACAAAGAGAACCAAAACGCCACCTGTGGCAATATCTAGAAACTTAGTTTTATAAAGACACCTATAAATTTACCTCTTTTCAATACTCCCACTTAAATTTATGAGGTGTCCATGTTCTGTATGTTTACATGCACTCAATTATAAAACTACACTTTTAAGACACTATCTCTTATAAAAGCGAACTTACAAAGTGGTAAAGCTTTCGTAAGAAAATCAGCTAATTGACATGAACTTTCAACATATTTAATATTAATTACCTAAGAACATATAAACTCACTATGTAAAAAGATCAGTAGTCTCTCATACGCCTTATATAAACTTGCTCCAACCATCCACCATAATGCACTACTGTGTGCATACCACGGGCTTGTTGAATCTGTCCTCAGGTATGGCATTATTTTTTGGGGTAATTCCACTGACAGAGACTTGGTATTTAAAATGCAAAAACGATGCATACGCGCTATGTTCGGTATTCAAAGTACAGAAAGCTGTAAACCATTATTTATTAAGCATAGAATCCTCACGCTACCGTCACTGTATATACTCGAAACAGCTTTATTTGTTCACAATAATCTGCATTTATTTACTCACATACCCTCCCATAGTCAACGCCGCGACAACAGTAGACTTTGTGTCCGGCCTACTAAAACAGTTCTTTTACAGAAAAATGTAGTATGCAAAGCTCCAATAATTTATAATCACATACCGAACTCAATGAAAAAATTGAACGCCAATATTTTTAAAACAACTTTTAAAAGTACCCTGATTAAAAAATGTTATTATAGTGTAAATGAATTTCTTAGTGATGGATGTGTTTGAATGATTGAATGTAATGATATTTAAATTGTAGCACTTAACCATAATATGTAATTATTCTATTCTGTTAGTTTCTTATGACTTATTTCTATTGATTTTATTATTTCATTGTTATTGACATTATTAGTGTATCTTGACATTTACTTATAGATTTATTGGAAAATTAATTAATATTTGTACACCGGTCACGGTTAAGCATGTTGATACCAACAATACTGTACATCTATAGTAAACATTCATTTTTGCATGTATTATTGTAACCTACACATGTTTTGGCAAATAAAACTATCTTTATCTTTAT